CCTTTGGCTTTAAAGAAAACAGTATAAAGATATAACAGTTGCAGGAGGGTTGAAAAAAAAAATACAGGAATTTTTTTTTTTTTTTTTTTTTCTCTCTTTCTTGTTCCTTTCCTACTGCTGGTCTGGCAACTTCACAGCAAAGAGTAGTGGGAGCACTATTATTGCAGACACTGCCTCTAATACTGTAAAGCTGCAGAGGCCCATGCTGTATAAAGGCTGGCTTTTCTAAGTGTGAAATCACTACGCTAATTCAAAATTGCCTTGGTATTTGTTGGGCTTCATAAGAGTGGGGATTGAGTTTATTGATCCAGATTTAGTGTAATTTCACAACAGGGTCCCAAGAAAGTACTCTGCAAATTTCCACATATGCTAATGATTTTCATTTTATTTATTTTCTCAAGACACATTTTGTTGCTTCCCCAACTAATCCTAGTCGCTTGAAATTTATAAGGTCTTTTTATAAGGCCTTTGGGGAAATGATATTAAAACATTATTAAAGGAATGATTTGTTTTGCTGCAATCTCTACTAATTAATAGTCAGACACTGTGTTAACCATCTTGTGCAACATGCTGTTGCACTTAAAGTAGAGCTACAGAATGTAGTAGCTATGTATGTAATTGCAATAGTACTCTAACAGTCATTATATGACAGTGGGAAATAAAAACCCCAAAGAAAAAACCTGGAAAGCCAGGTGCTGGGCATGCAGGAGGTAAGAAGCCATGAGAGCTAGAATTAAGGGGCTTTTAACGTGTGTGGCATGGCTTCTTGCACCCCCCAGTCAGTTTGTAATTATGTCTGCCTTTGTTGACCCAGCTGAAGGTCACTGAGAAGAGAGATTCCTGCTCATCTTGGGTAGGTCCAGCTTGCTGCTTCTTTCGATGAAGGGTGGAAAGCTGGAGGCGGCCAGTAAGTGTAGAGCAGTAGAGTTACTGCCCCAGAGCTGTAGTGCCTCCAATTGCTAGGAGACACTTACGTGGCAGTTGCAGACTCTTGAATTGACAGATGAGAAGTAGGATGGGAATGGGAGGACCATATGGACCTTGATAGTAATAATAAATTTGTAGAAATTGGCTGCACGGTTTTATAATTGATGTTAAGTAAGCATGGTATATTTACTCTGCTAAAGAAATCTTGTTTGTTTTGCTTTACATTTTAGGCAGGGTCTCGGAAACCTTAAAGGAATGCTTTGTATGCACTAGTATTTGTAGTAATAGTTAAAACTTCCTGTTTTAATAGTTAAAACTTGCTCTAAAAATGGTGCAGATTCTTAATTCAGGTGCAGATTTTTAAATCGTAGGTTGTGTAAGAGACAGTGGTTGTGAGCCTGACAGTACAGCATTTATTTTCAGGGAGGAGATGTAGAGCTTTAATTCACATTCCTTCATTTTTTGGAACAACTGGTTGATTAAGTTTTGTCAGCATCTACACTTGTCTGTAGAGTTCCCGATCTATCAAACTGCCGGAAGATTGAATGGCAAACCAAATTCCTCTTGCATTAACAATAGATTTTTGAAATAGTGTGTTCTCATTGATTGGATGATTTTCACACAAGCATAATTCCTTCAATCTATTAAACTTGCATTTTAGTATACTACTAACCACAATCATTGTCCACGTACAGAGTATTTTTCACATTAGTCATTTGACTGACATCATGATAAAATTCAATCAATAAAACTTTAAAACAAATGGGAGGTTAGCATAGGTACAAAACTGTGGCCATATCTCTGTGCAGTTTAATGACCAATGTAAAGTTTAGACTGAAGTGATCTAATGGTTTCTTCCACTGTTTAGCTCCCTGAACCAGTGAAAGTTCTACCATCTTATCTTGGTGTTTAGATTAAGTTACTTAACTACACTGTTGTACTTTAAATAGTATAACATTTAAATATGATTTTTTTCCTCTATGAAAAAGGTCTGCTACAGTCATTCATGAGTTCTTTGGGGAAAGATTTTCTGCTTTATCTTGTCTGTCAAAATACGCGTTTTCTTTTTTCTAACATTTGTTTTGTTTTGTTTGACACTTTAATAAAGTGAGTGAATACCCAGCTGTTGGCATTCCCAGATGTGGTCCAGCAAGTCCGTTTAAAGGACACTTGAGTACTAAGAGTAATGGTAAGTAACACGTGCTTTCATCAGAAGGTTGACATGGTTCCTTTTATGTGAATTCATTTATTTTATGTTTAAAATGTTTTTATAATTAAAACCTTTGCATTGAGCTCAATTGGTGAAGTTTAATAGTACTTACATGTAGTATGCATTACTGAAAATACTTTTCAGGAGTGAGTTTTGCCTTGACGCTCCTGCTAGCTAGAAACAGCAAGGTATCCAAATATATATAGATATCACATCTATATTAACTGGAGTATACATATGGTTACTGCTTTAAAGAACCCTTGAGGTTAAACATATTCCTTTACATTCAGTAGTTTACATGAGCTAATATACGCTTCTGTGCCATACTGCCACCTCAGACACTTTTTTCAAAAGAGCATGGAATGGAGAAACAGGAAGTTTCCATGCTGATGTTTTCATAGTTCAACTTCAGCCAAGTACTTCTGTAGCTATTTATTGAGTTAATGGCTCAGTGGGGAAAAAAAAACCAAAGGAGACAGGCTGATTTCATGTGATAGTAGGTGCTAAAGAAAAATGACTGCCATTGAGCAAAGAAGTTAACACACAGTAATTTAAAGTTTGTGGCTTTGAATTGCAGTTAATAACTGTTCAAAATTTTAGTATTCTTCTGCCTGCCTTTATAATGTTTAAATATATTTTAATCTTACAGCTTTCTGCATTGACTCCTCCCGAAGTCTAACTAACCAGTACCTGATCAGAGATCACATGGTGTTTCACTATAACAAAATCCTTTCAGCCAAAGGTAAAAATGTGCATATGTGAATGAACTTTTTACCCCCAGGTTTAGCTCATTCTTTCAGAATAGGCTCATATCAAGAGGGAATGAATTGGACTGTAGGAAGTGTAGTTTTCTTCCTGTTTTGTACTCGGACTGATGTCAGCAGGGAGATATGGCCGCTACTTAATACTACTTTTGTATTATTGGAATGGGAAGTTTTGGATGAAAACATTTTCCTTAAGTGCTACCAAAGATACTACTTTAATTTTAGGGTACCTTGTGCTGTATTCTCTTCATTCTGCTTTTGATGAAATAATGAATTATTAAATAATATGCTGAACTTAAAATCATGGAGATAATCACAATAGCAAGCATACAGAATTTGTTTTAGGAATGAGTGCAGAACATCTTCAGTTAAACTCAGACCACTGTGTCTTTTCTTTTTTTCTTTTTTTTCTTTTATTTAAAAATGTTCATTATCTTCTGTTCATATTTCAGTCAATGGCACTAGGTAGTTTTAAGGACTTTGAAAATTGCCCCATGTGTTTGCAAATGAGAAAATCCTGTTACTAACGTGTATTACTGAGCACTAAATATGTATATGATTTTTTTCACATATTTTAATGTTAGAAGGTACTTATATTTATCAAAAGACAAATGCACAGAGCTAAGAAAAGTCTGTAGATAGTTGTTAATGTTGTTTACAATTCACAGCCTATTTTCATTCTTCATAGCATAAACTTGTCTTGGGGATCTCAGTCCTAGAGATATTAATGCTAGGGCTTGGCAGGATGTCCTGAGTGTTTAAATTAAATGCATAAAAGTTTGCAGGATATGAGTTGCAAGAGAAATGTTTTTTGAATGCTTCCGAAAACATTGTACGCTGTTTTTCTAGGTATTTTCAGAAATAGGATTTTGGAGTTGGTTCTGCTGATTCTCTTCACCATCCCTCCTTTTCTTAATGTCTGCTTTAAAGAGAGGTACACTGGGGCTTCAGATTCTGCCAGAGTCCATGCTCACAAATATGCTGTCATCTCTCTATCATGTAACATACTCGGTATCCTCAGGTGTGCAGTGAAATGCCATCAGCACAAAGTCTATAGAAACCTTTTGTAAGGAATCTTCATTTAAATGATGATTCTTCCTTCAAATATATATTTTACTTTAACATCTTTATCTCAAAAATTCTCTGACTGTATTAATATCAATCTAATACTTTAAATACACAGTAACTAGCATATTTTAAGATAGAGAAAAATTGCTGTGTTCTAATTAAATTAGTCTTTGTTCTGTGTTTTATTGCTACATTTTTCGAGCCACCACAAATACTAAGTAGATACTGAATCACTCACATTTTTTTTTCTTCTTATTTTCAGCAGCTGTAGACTGTTCCGTGCCCAAAAGTAGGTTGACCAGCATCAAACGTAAGTATCTGTGATATGTTAATTCTGCAAAAGCGTCTGTAAAACTAACTTAACAAAACAAAAGAGCCAGAGGAATAGAAGAGTAACGATAGAATATAACCCTTAATAAAGCGTTCATGTACCTGCTTGTTTCTTCAGCTTTTCGCATACTGCTCCAGCTATTTGTAAGAATCTCCAGTGAATGTAATGCTAGTAAGATGGACCTAGTCTGTTAGTGATTAGTTGTGCTTAGGATCACAATTTTGCTTAGGATTCTTTTCATCCACACAGTTAATGGAGCACGTCAGGAGAATTTCAGCATTTTCTCTCTCCTTTCTTCTGATACGATGTGAGATTGAACTTTCAAGAAGAGAGCTTACTAGTGCAAGGTCAAGAGGAATTTTGGGAATGTGGGCACCTGGGGACTGGGCCTGAAACTTTTCATTCCATTTCTCAGAAAATGGAGCCAGTTACAAGCACGCAGCCCCACAGCCTGGATTAAACTGCAGTTACTTTTTCTGGGAGTTGTCTCATTTCTTAACGCCGTTTAAAGATATCACTACTGTAGCCTTACTTCATAGTGTTAGCTTTCAAATCATTGATTTATGGAATACTAAATGAAGTGTATTAGTCAAAGGGAATAAATAGCAACTGTTTATTAAAATAACAAACGTGTATTTCTGTTATCTGTCTTTTTCACTAGTGAAATTAGAGAAAGTTCTTTTTTTCTCCAATTCAATATTTAGTTACAACTGCTGAGGTACTAGAAAAAATTAAAGTATTCTTTTAGGATGGAAAGATAAATCTTCTGAGGACAGAATACTTTGTGGTTAGTCTCAAATCCAGTCAAACCAGAGTGATACTGCCTTGTAAAATGATCAGAGTAACTAGAGCTGATGCAGGAAATCAGTCATCCTTTTGGCAGAAAGTCTCAGTTTCATTAGAAGTTTTTTCAGTACTTCTGCATAATGGGTTGAGACTGAATTAAGCAACAAGCTGCACCAGGATCAAAGATGCTGTATGTGGGCTTGCCTTTTCCTGCTTTCAAAAGGTGCAGCACAAGCAGCAATAGTATGGCAGTGATATCTAGAGTCTGCAGATTGCAGTAGGAATTTCAGATCACCTGTTCTGCAGAGTCATTTGAAAAAAAGTCTTCCTTCTCATGCCCCAGCTCTACCAAGATTTGCTTTGAAACAAGCATGAAAATACAGGGTTGGTGTAAGAAGAAAATTTACACCTACGTGTTTGTGTAATAAAACTCTCATGTAGCTTTTCTTTCTGCATCTGCTAGAATCTTTCTTAGATTCCCTAATTAACAATTATTCTTCCATACCTTTTCAGGTCTTGGATCTTTCTCAACACTGACAAATGCCCATTTATTTTAGAGTCTGCTGTCTTTACAGATAAAATGCTTCTGAGCTGATAGCTTGTGTGTTTCAAGCCAGAATGAGTTTCCCTGAATAATGAGTTCATTTTGGGAGACAGTGACAGTGCCTTAACCTTAACAGATAATCGTCATGACACTAGCAGGTGTGCTCTGTAGTGAGGAAATTTCCATTTCAGATAGCAAGGCTTTGTGCAATATGTTTCTCTTTCAGTTCATCTTACTCAGACTGGTGTCTGACTATGTAACTCTGTCCTGGTCACAGACAGAGCATTAATCTCCTATACAGGGTGTGATGGAAACATTTCACCTTTGTTGCTGCTTTTGTTCTTACCCATCTGTTTGGTAAAATTGGTACACTAAATCCTCGCTAAATTGCTCTTTCACGTATTTTCAAACTGGGCTGGAAAAAGCTGCTGCTGTGTTTTATCTTATTAGAACGTGCATACAACCAACACAGCCCTAGAAGATGCTTCCTGTTCACAAAGATAAAAAACTTGAAGCTAGGGGGAAAAAAAAAAAAAGCCTTTGATTACAAAAAAATTTCTTCAATTTACCTACTGTTATTCTAGCCTAAGACTTGGGAGTGCTCATTGTTACTTAGTTGAAATTTATTATATTCCCAAAATAGAGCTAGCTCATAAGGTGAAGCTGCGCGTCATAGTTCAAGGACCGGGATCCTAGTCAGTAGCACAGAATTCATTTGGAAGAAATGTTGGACTTACTTGTCGGTCTCCCAGAACTGAGTATCCAGTGTGGTTAGAGCTTTTTATCCTTAGGTTTAGCTAAGTTCTAAAATATAGTTTGATTGGTTGATGTTCTGCACTGAGAGGAATTGTGCAATTATAAAGTGACAATGAATTTGCCATTTTTAAAAATCTTTTTAACAAAGCAATAAATAATGTTGTATTTTTTTCCCTAAAAATGGCTTCTCAAAACAGTATTATGTCTCTGCCCCAGATTTCAGGTTTTATTTTGTGAGGTACTTCATGTTCTCTAATAAAAATGAGAGTGCCGAGTGAAAGATAGAAAGCAAAGTAATAAAGCAAACTTATGTAAACAATAACTTTTTATTAGAATATTCCTCAATGTAGTGTTTTACTTTGCAATGCTGAAAAATGTTCCAAATTACATTTTCATCTTAAATTGTCTGCATAAAATGCTACAAACACTTAGTTTTCTTGCAGTAGAAGATTCCCTTTTTTTTTTCCTGCAAGAGAAATGTCTCAACATCTGGTTTCACTGGAGTTCAGCACTTCCCCCAGACACAAAGCTGGAAGTTACATAGCTTGCTTGCTGGTTCTGTTTACCGTTTCTGAAGAGGGTCTTTCTACCCGATAGAGATGAGAGACACTGGTTCATAGATTTCCCGTCCAGTGATTTCGCTTCAACAGCTCAGTCTGTATGCATTGTCATTTCTCCTAATGTTTTGGAAGCTCAACTTCCGTCGTGTACCTGCCTTCATGGAATCACAGAAATGTTGGTTGTAAGGGACCTTCAGAGGTCATTTAGTCCTCCTTGAGCGTCCTGCTCAAGATAGGACTTCTGCCAACACTAGATCAGTCAGCCAAGTCTTGGAAGCCTCCAGGGATGGAGATTCTGCAACCTGAGTAACCTGTTCCAAGGTTGCAATATCTATGTAGCTAAAAGATTTTTTCCAGATGTCCAATTCAAACACTGTGAGGATTAGAACTGAATTTACTTGAAAGCATTTGTCCTGGTAATTCCGGTTTTAAAAGGCAAATTTTGGATGGTGGAATATAAGGGGTTTAGATGCCATAATTGAAATTGTTGTTTCGTGATGGTCAATGGCAAAAGTGTCTCAACTACAACAGGTCCAGGATTTTCATGTATGCATTTGTATCAGATACTTAAGATTATCCTTTCTTAATAAAAATCTTTGAGGATTAATATCTATACTCAATGAGTGCATGTAACTGATATTTTTTTCTGACCTGCTTTCTTCATATGTTTTGTCACCTGACTGAGATCACTTTATAAACAGATAAGAAACTCTGACACACAGGCTGAAATTTGTGCAGAGTTAGCAAAGGGATAATTCCATGGGGCACATCTACTTTAAAATTCTTCATTATTGGTGTCACTGCCTTCAAGGTATTTAAGGTTAAGACTACTCAGACATCCCTTGTCCAGTATCTGCACTATTCTTATAAACTCTAGATGTTTGGAGTGAAATTGAAAATTATTTTGATTTATTTCATACCTAAACTTAGAGTGGTTGGGGGTTTTTTCCTGCTGTTCTATGCATTGTTCATCAAGAACTACAGATTTCTGTACTGTAATAATAGCGCAACCAAATGTTACGTGTTCAGGTGTTAAGCTTAGTGCAAGGTATCATTTGTAGTGTCTCTGGCAATCCACCAGAGAATAGTTTTTCTTCCTCTGTCTTTTATGAGACAGATTATGTGGATATGACAGCGAATAGCTCGGGCAGTAAGAGTACTGAAAATGTGCTAATGAAGAAAGTAAGGGAAAAGGATTTTTAGAATATTTTCAAACCAATTTCTTTTTTCTTGCTGGACATGGGGGACACAATTTGTCCAGGCACAGTTGCAACATCAATATGACTAAATATCAGGGGAATCTCTACAGTCGAGGGGTTTACAGCTTTATTCTTCCAGTAGTTCTGTGCCTGTTATTGCCTCAACTGAACCATATTATTACTTTTTTCTTTTTGTATTCCTTGTCTTATTACTTATTGCATCCCAAATAAGGTTTCCATTCCCCCTCTATTTCAAAAGAGATTTGGGAAGGGGGGTAAATGTTCAGTTTGAAATGCTAAGATTTATTAATAGCATAGAGTTACAAAACAGAATTCCTGCAGATAGTGTTAAAAAAACATCCCCTGAAAATGTGCTTCGTGTACTGCTAAAATAGCAGGTGAGTATTTCCCTTTGGGGTTTTTGCCACGAATCAATCATTAGTGTTTAAGAATTAAACATGATACTGTAGTTGGCATTCTCCCTGGCCAACTGAATGTGTTCTGTCCTTAAAGTGGATTTAGTTTCCACTGTTCTTTTCCTGGTATCTTAGCTGGCAGCGAAGTAGGCAAGCTGCCATGCCACTGGGCTAGCAGTGAGCATGTTCTTGTGTATTAGATCAGCTTTATTGACTTAAAATAGTTGTTAAAATGTGAAACTTCTTGAAATGTGAAACTTCTATGTTCAGAATTAGTCCAAGCATGTTGATTGATACCAGTGGCCATTAGAAGTCTGTGGTTGTGGAATTTGTGCCAGAAAACCTGACAAAAGCTATGCCAAGTAAGACAGCTGCTGCTACACATGCCTGGTTTCTAACAGTACTAACTTTTCAACCCATATGTTTAGAGGTTTTTCCACAGGGCATATTGATAGTACAGCCTGAACCCAGTGATTAGTGTGCTTGGGAATGCAGGTCTCTCTGATAGCGGGGCCGGGGGGAGAATAAGAAGAAAACAAAAAAAGTATTCTGAGAAGTTACCCACCAAAAATCTGTTTTAGCCTGATGGAACTTGAATACTTGGGGGGGGGGGGGGGATTGAGAGATGGGGAGAGACAACAATTCAGACTGATTAGTAATGTTGTTTTTCTACTTTTGGGGGGGTTAGGTTCAAGTAGAAATATCAAGAAATATATAT